AGGAGTTTTGACATGAGCATGTAGCTGTGTGATCAGATCTCTATCCCGATACTGTATACGATCACCTCCCAGAGGGTCGCTCAGGCGAACCTCGTTAGTTCCACCACTCAAGATGAGAGACTAGTGTTGTCCTGACGCACAATTAGAATCATACGGTATATACGCTGAGGTCATGCTTTCTTCACTCAGCAAAATGCTTGTGAGGTTCACGATGTGGTTGTACATGTTAGAATTACCATTCAGTGGTGGTTAGTGTTCTGTTGTATGACCATACCCTGCTTGTTTCTCTCTCTTCTGTGGCTAGACCTCTAGGGTGATTCCAGTTTGGGGGTGCTATAAATAAAGTGGCAATGATGATTCATATACACATTCTTTAAGTGACATGTGCTTTTTTGGGGGTGTGTGTGTGTGTGTGTGTGCGTGTGTGTGAAAATAGATTGGAATGGAATTGTTTAGTTGAAAGCTAAGTGGACGTTTAGAAAACTAGCAGACTTTTGCTTAAATTGGCTAGACTATGCTGCATTTCCACCAATAATGTATTAGAACTCCAGTTGCTCCATCTCCTCAACAACATTTTGTGTTGGCAATCTTTTTATTAAAGATGTGTGAGGGGCCTTGGTGACATAGTGGTTACAAGTTGGGATGCTAACCACAAAGGTCCACTGTTTGAAACCACCAGCTGCTCCAGGGGAGAAAGATGGGCCTTTCTACTCCTATAAAGATTGAGAGGCTCAGGAACTCTCAGGGCCAGTTCTACCCTGTCCTATAGAGCCACTATGAGTCGGCATCGACTGGATGGCAGTGTGCTGGGTGTGCACTGGTGTCAACTTTTAAGTTGCTGCTTGTGGATGACCAATGATGCTGACTTTTCACCCTCGTGTACCGATCTCCCTGGCCACAGAGTCTATTCAAATCTTCCCACCATTAAAAAAAATGAATTGTTTTCTCATACTATTGAGTTGTAAGCACACATTCTCCCTATATTTGGATATACGTCTTTGGCTATTTTTGTGAATATTTTCTCATTCTTCGCGCCATTGTCTGAGCTGCCATTGTCAGATTCCTATTCTGAATCTTTTTTTTGTGTGTGTGTCTGTCTTCTGCAGTTGTTGCCATGTTTCTAGGCCTGGCGTACATGTTTATCCGTCACTGGTACTTTTCTGCATATTCAGAAGCTGCTAAAAAAAGGTAAGAAGAACCCAGTAGCTATGACAGTATGCAAAGAGTAGCTAGATGGAGTGTGGCCTCCTTTCCCATTTGCAAATGGATTTGGATGAGTGAGAGGTATTCATGTCACTGTGGTCCTTTATGGGAGATCTGCTGATAGAGTGTCTATGTGTTGGCCTGCAATCCTTAACTTTGAAACTGCTGGCAGCTTCTCCGGAGAAACACAGGGCTTTCTACTCCTGTAAAGAGTTACAGTCTCTGAAACTCACAGGGGTAGTTCTATCCTGTCCCCACAGTGAGGATCTGCTTGTGGGGACAAAAGGACCATTGACTGGGAGAAGCACGTGTAGAGACATGGCTCTAAATTGCCAATTGGTCCAGGTTTGGGGGTTGCATGAATATCCTCATTGGAATCTCAGAGTATATCCCAACGTGACATCCTTGCTTGCT